TTAGCCACTCTTGCTCACACTTCACATTAGGGATGCACGATAATTATCGGCCCGATAATTATCGTAAATGGTGTGCGGCCGTGAAGCCAGGACAGTAAACAAACATGTCGTCGGTGGTATGGGCGTTGGAGCTATGTGCAACTCAAGGCATATGCTCGAACCGGAGCTGCCTGGACGCTGCAATCATGTTGCGCACTATCCGTGCTGAGTGTGCTGACTTTTCGTACAATATCCCACTGTCTGGCTTCCTGCATAAAGTCAAGTGCTCGGCGCAGTTGTGGTGAAATGTCGCTCCTCTGTTTTCATTTAAACAGCTCCTTATATCCGTTAGCGCAGCTAGCTAGCACCAGATGCTAACAACAACAATGCACGTAAGGTCTCTCTCTCGCTCGCTCGGGCCACACATACACACACCCTCCCGGTCCTCCCAACAGCCAGTCGGTGCCTGCCGGTGAGCGTGGAAGTGTGGTCTGCCACAAGCGGGCGGCAGGAGCGGGGCTGTCAGCATCAGCTTGTAGATGGTATTTTAAACTCGATGCGCTCTGAAACTACGGGGCGGCCAAGGAAAAAAAATACACATGCGTTAATCGCGTTAAAATAATTAGTGGCGTAAACATTTTTTTATTATCGGTTATCGGTATCGGTATCGGTCTTGAGAAGCAGGAAGTTATCGGTATCGGTATCGGTTTCAAAAAACCAATATCGTGCATCCCAGAACTCATGCCCTCAAACCCAGAGTTAAACCATTAACAGCAGGCATTACTTTTTCTATGCACATAATTAATCATATCATATTATAAATCTTCTGCTATAGCCTAAACATATAATAGGTACTCCCCGATCCGTCAATATTGCATGTTAAATTGGTTGTATTTGTTCTAAGCTCATGCCAAAGTTCATTACAACTTTTAATAACAAACCACCGCGAACAGATCCTTATTATATTTTCAATTCAAGACTTTTGGATTGTTGCTTTTCTTATTACATTTTTCACAGCTCACTCACCAGCATTTGTATTCAAATAAACTCAGTTTGACTGGCATCATTTATTTACGGTGTTGCTACTGAGGCCAGACCAGTCAGACTTCCACTGCTGAGATTGTTCTCTAAATAATACAGGCAAGGCTGAATCAACTATCATTCCAACAGCAATATGGTGTATAGTATCCATCATGTCATACTGTAATTCGCTATTAAATAATGCAATGAGATAAGTCAATGACACCATCACTCTTTACTGTGTATTACTATACACAGAAAACAATAATACTGAAAAACAACAGATGATTGTCTGAAAATGTAAAAATAGATTGTGTCATATCTCAATAAGAAGCCAGGAAGTGGTCCTAATTTTGATAAACTTCAAAAGTAATGTAGACATTAAAAGTACATCATTGATGTTATAGTTCACCTCAGTGCAGGTGACCCACTAACAATCAATCTTACAATATTAACATTCATACTTAATATTCTAATCTTCAACCTTGGAGTAATTCCCCAACTCCATGAGCAGTTGTTTTTTCAAGAGTTGAAGCTAACAACAGCCTGGGTCGCTAACCATGTTACTTGAATTAATACGATGTTCCTATCCCCAAAATGCTCCACCACAAAGCTCCCATGCCAGAATTGAAATAGGGATGTTGTAGTCATGAATGTAACATCTTGCAGGTCTCCCTTGAAAAAGAGATCATTGATCTCAATGGGATTTTACCTGGATAAATAAAGGTTTGAATTGAATGAATGTAAGATCTTATACTGCATTAAACAGTCTATTTCTTCATTAAAACGTTTTAAATGTCTCACATTTCATGATATTTGGGAGCACAGAATACATTGTAACAAGTGCCATGATGATACATTCCTTCTCAAGTGTTACAAATTAATATGGTAATGATATTCTAATGATACTCTAATGAGATTTTAATTATCATGTTCCATTTTGTTTCTGTCATAGCATGAGATGCATTTCGTGAAGCATGAAAAGTGACTCTTACCCCTGAAATGCATTTGTGCGAGCCTGCTTACAGTCTCTGATTTTTTTTATTCTAAAACAGATTTACAATTCAATCAGATTAGAAGGCTACATTTGCATACATAAAGCAGCATCAGTGACTTGGTGCTGCATATCCTCCATGCTGCTTCTGTTTCGTTCCTCTCCAGCTCTCCTTCAGGTGAATACAGTTCACAGGTTCTTCTATTGGAAACTCTTCCTCAGTGTCTCAATCTGTAAAGGTCGGCAAAGAGAAGAAGGTCAGCAGAGATCGACCTACCACACAGCGCTGATGAGACTATCACAGCTGAGTGATAACATTCTTTCGTGTGTGCTTGTGAGGGTTGTGAACTTGAGTGCACTTGTTTCTCTGTAGCAGTGCACGTACAGTTGGTGTTCTGCATACATGTGTGCCAGCGACAAATATAAATGAACTCTTGAACCATGAGTCATTTATGTAAGGGGTTAAGCCTGCTTGATGAAACCAAACTGAAAGGTCTTCTGAGTCATATTTCCTCTTTTAACTGACTCTTACCAAGAAAATGATTCAGGCTGATTCATCCCATCCCCTCCCCTCTCTGTAGAGAGACACTGCACTGTGGCCCCTGCACCACATGAAGGCGCTACTGCATCAGCCGTAAGAGACTGCTACGTGAGACGGAAAATATGTGTGTACCAAATATAGGAGGTGGTTGTTATTGTGATTCAGCTCCTCGCCACCGGAGTGAGACCTCTCAGAGGCATGCTGGATATTTTTTTCAAAGATGGATGGGGAAACAACAACAACAAATGAAAAGCCTTTGGGTATTATGAATTTGATTTAGTGGTTCAATTTTCAAGTGAGTCTGAAAAAGGAGATGGGAAAACATCCATATGCAGTAGTTCACAGAGAGTGATAGTAAATTGCATGTTCAAGGGCAACAAATTACTACCTGAAAGCCTGTTTACTGTTTCACAGCACACATCCAGACACTCAAACACACCATCCTTGGCTTCTCTTGTTGTTGTGCTTGAAAACATACTTGGCCCTAACTGGTCAATTTATGATGTTTAAAAAGGTGTTTAGTCACATTCAAAGAAAGCTACTGCAACAAAATGTCTTAAACTAGAGTGAAAAGACACCAAAAAGCAATTGGTGAAAATCTTTGTTGAGTCGTTTTCAAGTTTAGTGAACATTTCTGCTGTATCAAGTTGAGTACATAAAATGAATGCCATGCAGTCTGAACCATAACTGTGTATTACTGAATAAGCAGGTCTCCAGGAAGACTGCTGAGCTTGATTACGTCCGGCGTTTACCGCAGTGATTTATCGCTGTGTATCTGATGACTCCTCCAGAAGCCCTGTCCACTCAGGTATGTTATTTACAAACATAAATAGGATGAGCTTTGCAACAAAATCTTTTACAGAATATTAATAAATAATACAAAAAGCTGACATTTGCAGAGCAGTAAATTGAATTTTGTAAACATAAAAGAAAAACTGGTATTCATCCCATACGTTATATTTTAATTCTGCTGGAAACAGCAATTCACTGCTGTAATTACAAACACAGTGTAGTTGACATCCGATATGTTTCTGCCATATGTTTTTTCAAGTCTTGTAACGCTGTAATTGATCTTACAGCAAGTATATAATGTGGCAGGAACGTTTTATTTTTACTTTTCAATGTTCTGTGAATAGTGGTTCTGAGTTTTCTTTTGTCTTTGGCGCCCACAGTTCAAGAAATGACAGGCTTTCTTTGAAATGAGACACACTCATTATGAAAGCACTTTCAGTTTCCGTCTGATTTTACCTCACACATACTTTCCACTTGAGAAAACGTGGCAATGATGTGCGTTCCCTGGTCACTTGCTCTAACTGTTGTATCCCCAAGTCCACATGATGTGAATGTATGAGAACATTTTCGTCCAAACAATTAGATTACACCAAGATAGATGTTGAAACCTTTCTGGCTGACAGCTCAATGTAAAATGTTGACATCATAATTTGGAAAATCTGTCTAATCTGAGCATCTGAGTGATGACACAGCCTATTGTAAATTCCCAGTCTCATCGACAGGGTAAAAAAAAAACTGCTTCATCCGTATCACTATATTCCCAACTGCCCGAGTTTACCAAAAAACGATTAAAAAACATTGGATATCAAAGATATTTGGTTTCCCTTATCACTCAAGTGAGAAATAATCAATGTATGATTAATATGTTGAGAAAAAGTGGATTAACAGCCAGAAAACTTGAGTTTTGGAGCTGAGTGCTGCTCTTGGGAAATGAAAAGCAACATATTCAGTCTCGATATGAGTGAGGACTCAAGGCACTTTGGTACATACGATCCAAGAGACTCAGCCATGCGATGCTGTGCCAGTGAAGGTCAAGCAGGGTGTCACCCTTCAGGGGGGGGGGCTGTACCCACCATCACCCTGGTGGCACAGGGTTCGTCTGTCTTTCAGCCCGACTGCAGTACAGCAACCTGACACTGGTGTGCGCACTGCAGCTTCCAAGGCAGCCAGTAACAGACAGGAAATCAGACCACCGTGCCTTCAAAATAAATTACCCAAAGGTTACATTTATTTGAAATATGGATGCAAGTTTATTTGTATATCCATATAACACAAAATGTTTCATATTATAGATGTTTAATGGGAATTCATTTGAATTTATGTAGAAATTTCACAAAACAATTGGCAAAAAAGTTGCATAAATTACCTATTATTTATTATTTTGTAGCTATTAAATAACTCAAACACAAAGGTTGAAGTCGTCAAATATACCTCACAACCATTCATAAAAAAGCTCACTACTTGAATTAAGCTCAACCAAACAAAACAAAAACATTTCATATTAAGTTTAAATTCAGATGATTTGATAAAAAGACAATATGAAATCAAAAATATAATTATACCACAATCAACTGTGGCAAAAACACAAACCAAATTAGTTGTTGACAACAGAAACATTGTTGCGAGTTGCACACATCGTATTCATTTGAAAAGGTGTGACCGGATATGAAGTTTCCCCCTCTCTGGTTTGCTTTGACACCGGCCGTCCAGCAGATCCCCACAGAGCAGCCTGCCGTATTCACAGATCCCAGCTCTCCCAGTTCCTGTTTCCGCCGCAGCCTTTTACCCAATTTTCTGGAGCAACACATCTGTGCTGCCGCTGCGTCAGACCCGGTGTCCGCAGCCCCGGTCGGATGCCGCTGGAAGCCGGTGTATCATGTCAAGGTAGGTGATGATAACCCTGCTGCATGGTGGAAATGTAGGAGCTACGGAGGCTCAGATTCCCCCACTACATCCCGGCCTGTTGACTGTGTCGCTGCTGAGATGACGGTGACCAAATAGCGGTCACGGTAGGAAGGAATTTCTGGTCCCGTTATGTTAGCGCCGTTACTCGGATGTTATTGCTGTGCATCAGGGGGGTGTTCAGTTGCTTCTTCGATACAATATATCCACTCAAACCACCCCGCGTTTATCCTTTGTTGCTTTATTCGCGCTGTGAAAAAGCAAGTGTGTATGTTCAAAACAATTTACAATGTATCCGCGGAAAGACAACTGTAGTCAGTCGGAAACGTCTATTAAGAACCGCAGCATTACCTGAACCTTGCAGTGTGAATGCATTTAGTGTTGGTTTAACTTGGCGGCCGTTATTTAAAGGCTAAATGCATCAACAGTGCTAGAGGCGTGTAGCCTATAAGCTAACTGTCTGTTTGACGTGGGCACATATTAGTTTCTCGCCGTTAAATGAATAGCTATTGCATTTGTCCTCCACTATTGCACACCACGTATAAATAAAGACACTTGACATAGGGAGGTGTCCATGACAAGTGTATCCTTTAATGTGTTTTATGTATGACGAGTAGACAAAGCAGTTGCCTGTGTTTCAGCCTCGGTGCTCTGCTAGGATCAGAAATGCTTTGTAATAATCACCACAACCAGGCGTGTGTTTGTATTTAGTATCTGGAGGTGTGGTTAATGTGTACTAATAATAAAGGCCCTTGATGTGTGATTAAGTTGGTAAAACGGTGGTCCAAGCTTCACCTTCATCACATGAGGGCAGTCAGAGGGAGCAGGGAGTTGGGTCTCTGCTTTCCATCCCCTCTTTAGCACACACACTTTACAAAGCTTATGAGAAAATACATGGCAGCATAACAGGCGGTGTGTGTGCTCCTGTGTTCAGTGTAGCTCAACTGATGAAGTCTGGCGTCAGTGCTGGTAAGGTTCAACTCCCAGCAGGAGTCCCATTAGATTAAAGATGTATGCCTTCGTGATGTACAAGTGCCTCCAAAACTCACATTGTGAACTCTCAGTATATGGGGGGGTGCAATGTTGTCATGAGCTCAGACTCGCAGCATGTATGTTGCTTATATGATGGATTAAAGGGAAATTAAATTGCTTTCACATGCAATCGATTTGTGATGACGAATGGCTTTTTTAGTCTTTTAGCTGTAGTATTTAATATCACTTAATGTCTGCAGGTGATATTACAGGTCATATTTCAACTTTTATTTTCTTTACAGCATATTGTCTGACGATAAATTATTAGCTCATAGGGTTGCAATTATCTTTTGAGTTTCGATCCATTTACAGCCAATATGCATTGTGTTCTCATTTGAATTGTAGTCGCTGACAAGGGAGAAACCCAACACTCATGGACAACCAATGCATCATTAATGTTATCTAATAAAGCCAGCCTGGGTAACTGGAAGCAGATTGATTGACTTACCCATTCATGAATAAGTAAACAGCCATATATATTGCGGTGATGTCGGTCCATGCCATGGCGGGGGAATCTTGGATTTGAGAGGAATGTGCTGCTTTAGATACACTTCTGTTTGAATACGTACGGTTTCAAACTGTCAGACTAATTATTCTACATAAAGCAGAGTGACTCGAGCTTTGGCAACAATTTGCTTTCATCTGGGCTCTGCCATTTTGGGGATGAATAGCCATGGGTGGATCCATTTATATCAGCCAAGTGCAAAAAATGACATTAGAGCAGTTCATTTCAGGCTGTGCCATTTTGATGAAGCACTTAAATGAAATATTAGTGATAACACTCAAACTCACCCCAGAAATGTACTTGGCAGGTTTGACGTTTTTTGTGTTGTTTCTGCTTGGTGAGTTGATTGCATTGGACACATGTTGTATTTGCTACCATGTAGCTACTGAAACACATGATACTGCATCTATAATAAAGGAGATGTGCTTTCTACTGGGTAGACCCCCACTTTCTCACTTGAGCTGCTTTCTCATTTACCTCCCTCTCTCTGCCCTTTGTGCTCCCATCTTCCATGCCTCATGCCACTGTCTGTCTTCATTTTTGACTAATGAGTTCATTAAACATATTAGTGTTGCTCTGCCAAAGAGGTTAGATGTGGTGCAGTGAGCAAAAATGGGCGGTGACTCATTTCATAGTTTTATCTGTATTTAACACCGTGCACATTTGTCACATGGCAAGCTCCATTTCTCTGTTTGGTTTAGCGCAGCAAGCCACTGCCAAGAGGAGTTTTATTTGAAATCGCTTGGATTTGTTTTTCATTTCAATTCTGTCTGCAATACCAGCCTGTCACCTGCACAGCAAGTGCCTCTGTTTGCATGGAAAGCCATTCTAATTTCAAGCATCACAGTGTTTTGGCTCACTGTAAAGTGTGTGTATAATGTTCATACAGCCCCTTTTTGTCCCAGATATATCAATTTTTTTTCAGAAAACGTCAAAGGAATAAGAAGAGAAGGCTGAATAGAGCTATGAAGGAAACAAACAACATATTTTGAAGACATGTTCTCAGACTGGGGGCCCCAAACACAAAGAGCATTGAAGTGAAGAGGCTATGCAAGACATGGCAATGCTTGTAGCAAGCGGCAGTAACAATGCTAAGAAAAAGAGGGGCTCATCTGGAAGCATTGTCTTAGTTAGTATTGTTAATCTCTGTGCAGCGTATTTCTGCATCCCTATTCAGGACATTATAGTGTAAATAGAGCAGAATCTGTTGAATAGAAGCCTTAGCAATCTGCTTTGAGGAAGATTGAAATTATTATATATGGATAGACGCACGCCCAACCAAGACAAGAAATATAAACAGTGGATTGCATTTGTCATGTGAGAATGACATAAACCACTATTAAAGAGAAGAGAACATAATCATTAACCTCTTAAGATGATAATGCCCTTTGGGAGAATCTTAGTGACTTTGTGCATCAGAGTAGGTACTTTAGAGCTAACCTGCTGCGTGCAATGAGCGTGAACATACCTGTAGTCTATGGTCTCTCATAGGCTTGCAGAATGCTGTCTCTAAAGGGCACAATCTGTAGGAAAAAGGCCTTTCTGCCATCACTCTTCTCCTGCTCTCATCCTTCCGCAGGGCCATTATTATCTGTATTGTAAGACAGAGTGTCTGTCTAGTGATCGTAGGAGCCAATCACAGGGCGAGTGTGGGGCAGGTTTCCATGGAGCTGGGCTGTGAGGCTGCTGAAGCTTAGCTTGAGTTGCATAGCCTGATCCAGGTTGATAGCATTCTCCGGCAGCAGAAAAAGGCCCAGAAGGCCTTCCCTGCTGTATGTCAGTCCAAATGTCTCGCTGCTTGTCTACCTGTCTCTGGATGTAGATACTCTGCTGAATGTTTAAAGGCAGTTTGGAAGAAGGGGAGTTCTGAGAAGGAATTCAGTCAGGCAGGCACAATAGGAGCTTGGCCCGAAAGCTATGTGACATCAGATTGGATTTGTGTAGAGACTGGATCTAGATCACATAATGCCTTAGTCTCAGCTTTTTGGGTGGTTGGAGGATTTGTGAGAATAAATTGGGTTTGGGTTGCGGGGTAGACCAGTCAAAGATCCTGACCTGGACTCCCCCTCAAAGAGCTCTGTCTGGCCCTGCAGGGAGGCTGCCCAGCTGGCAATGCACTCACAGAGAGGATGTGTAGCTGTGCGTGTGTGCGCACGTTTGTGTGCTTGCTTTTGCTGTATCTCGGGGAGTTATTGCTGCTGCAGCCTGAGTTTGGAAGTGGGTCTTACGACATCTCTTTTCGGCTCATTGGAGCCATCCAGAAATAGGCATGTACCCATCCACATGTAGCGCTTACATTTTCCTTCCCCTTTTTTTCTCATTTCAACTCAATAGCACTTAACTGTCCCTCGTTGCAAAACCGCCTGTGTTTCTTTGCATTAATTTGTGTCTATATATGTATGTATATCTTTGTGTCTTTATACTGTATATGCTATTTTGTTTATGTATCTCTGGGAATGCTCAGCCCAAGAACAAGGAGAAGGAAGTACAGCTTGTGGTGCCTCCTCTGTGTGAGGAACTGTATTCACATGGGTATGACACACACTGAGAATGTTTAGCTCATCAGAAAATGTTGAGGGACTCACTGTGGGACACAAACAAACCCCCTCTTCCTGTTAACCACCCACCCACAATCCCCTGATGCTGAGTGCCGATGTCCCATCAAACAGCCTTGTCAGCTCCTCTGAGTCCCCGGCTCAGGCCAGGATCAGAGCGGGCTGGAGGGATTCAGGGATGCTGCTAAAAATGCTCAGCCACATGACAAGATCCCACACTGTCGAGGTCTTACACACCCCACAGCATCAAACTTAAAACAGGATCTTAACCTACTTCAGTCTCTTAAGGGCTCTTTCTAGCATTGGAGCCTGGTGGAAGTACAAACTGTCATAGTGGCGACTACGGATGGAAGGGACAGAGAGTTGGAGGGTAGAAGAGGCAGATGGGTATGGAAGGGGAAATTAGAGAGAAGAGAGAGGTAGTAATTGGGACAGCTGCGCAGCTTGAGGCGTAAGCAGTCAGATCACCCACCTCACTCCGAACCCCTCCAGCCCCCCACACACACACTCTAGACATTCAAAAAAGTGAGCCAAAGAACCAGATGCTGGCCATTAAGTTCACAGTGACAATAGCCCAAATTCATTCTGCATCCAGAAAACAGAATACGCACGCACGCACAGAGGAATAGAAAAAGGACAAGACTATGAGCTCATCTGACAGAATGGGTGCATTTCCCACACTTGGGTAGAAAGGTTGTGTGACAGGTTTGACTCTGCATTGTGGATATTATTCTGTTTTCACTGGAAGCCCAAATTCCCACTCCACCTCTACCCACACACAAGGCCTATTGAAAGGCCTCCATTTAGCCTGTGGTTTTCCAATCCATCAGTACCAGCCAGTATTGGGTGGCCTGTGTGTGACCTCCCCACAGGTCCAGAGAGGGTTCAGG